TGGGTGAGAGGAAGAAACGAGGAGAGCCGCGGGGCCCCGTCGTGCCGGGGGCCGGTCGGGGGCGACGACGTAGGGCGAGAGCGCGAGGAAGAGAGACAGCGAGAAAGAGAGAGAGGGACAGAAGGAGAGAAGGAGACGGTGGAATCGCGTGTGGGTGGGAAGAGACGCGTGGCGTGCGGTTGTCACGCGGTGCAACCGCTATTGTGACATCTTCGACCGTATACCCACACGCATCCCCACATTTTTCCCGCTCCTCTCTCCCCCGGCGTTGTCCCTCCTCCTCCTCCTCTTCACTGAGACCCGCAAACGCGTCGCGACGATCCTTTGTTACGCGCGTAAGTAGCGAAATTTTATGTCTTTGAACCATTGAGCGCGCGAGATACTTTCCCGCCGCGGTCGCACCGTGGTTTTTAAATCACTTTCTGAGAAGTTTCAGATGATCGAAAATAATTACGGAAGGTTGTAAAGGTTTGACGATTTCAGGGAGCAAATGTCTGAGGGAACTCTTCTTTCACATTGCACTCGCAAAAAATACATGGTGATAGTGGGAACCATATAGGCGACAACTGTACGAGTTTTATAGAAAGAATTAATGTATATAGTTTAGTAAACCATATTGTAATTATTGCAATTAAAGCTGAGTAGTTACGAGAACGACATAGTTATTGTCCAATTCTCATAACCATTCAGCTTTAGTTGCAATAACTACAAAATAGATTATCGAACTGTATATTAATTTTACGTACAAAACTTGTGTAATTATCATCATCATGTGTTTTTCTCTGAATGTGGAACGAGTGAGTCAGTTTATTTTTGCGGTAATGTCGTTGGAGCGAGTTTCTGGACGTTAAGTCATTTTACCTCTCGATAACTATACTCTGATAACATTAACATAACGCGTAGGCGTGCGCCTTTGCGCAATCGCGCTGCATTAGGTACACGACATGTCGTTACACATTGCTGTCCCTCGTGGACACTTATCCGGAGTTTCTCCAGAGCGTTAGTCAGAATTCTCGAATTGCATGCGGAGAGGATACGAGGAGCGAGAAGGGCCGAATCGGAGGAGGACGCGAATGAGCGAACGAGCGAGCGTAATGGACCACTTGACCGTACCATTCGTTCTCCGGCTGCAATATCTCTTCAAGTACTCGGTCGGTCGACGCAGGTCAGACGAAAATCAGTCCGCGCCCATAAATCTAGCCTTCGTTGCAGCCCATTACTCGATGCTTTCGAGTGGCATCGTATTCTCAGAAGGAGGAAAAGCCGATAACCCCGAGACGTGCTTCCGCCGATAACGCCGCGATTATCGAGCTGCCTTCGAAAGTCACTTCTGATAACTGCGTTGATGCTCCGTAGCATCGATCTAACGCACTTATTATGAGCATGTGTGCGCATGATGCTCGGGAAACGTCTACATACTCCCTAAAGTGTATCAGTGTATTCTTCACTGTGATACTATACTTGTAACTGGTGGTTCATCACTTATAAGTACAGCATTACAATCAGTAAAATCTCGCTGAAAAGATTAGTCAGTAGTAACTACTTTCATTTTGATATATTTTGCCAACATAGGTAGTGTCATTGAACGCATAGCATATGAGGAAGCCATTAATTCCATTGTCACAAACCCAAAAAATTGGATTTGGCATAGAGTATAATAAATTCACAGACTTTGCAGTGAAATCTTGCTTTCACTGATCAAAATCAGTGAAATGTAAGATCGAGTAGGTAAGGTAAAAGTATCTATGCACCTACCAAATCCTGGACATTCTTATTGGTTTGGTCTTTAAATACGAATATTTAAACTTTCAGTGTAAAATATATATATATATATATTCTATGTTAAAAATCCAAATATTCGCATTTATAGACTAAAACAATAAGAATTTTTAGGATTAGATATGTTTACTTTAAAGTGGAAGTATTTTCACGAAAAATCAGTGAATATTCGCTGATCATCGATAAAATAGTCCTTTTACTGATTCATCTCCGAATCGTTTTTGCCGATTCATTTTAAGCGAACACGGTACACATTCAACTTGAATGAGAGACGCACGTATTATCGCGACACAGTGCCGCTGATTATTGAATCGCGGGAAAATGCGCGCTGCGCCAAATTGAGTGTAATTAAACGATAATTAAGCGCCACAACGAACGTGTTTGGGCGGCATCGCGCGCGCGCTCGTCTCTTCCTTTTATTTTCCGATATGCTCGCCGTCTGATTTATCACTCAGTACGTAGTTTCGACCACGGCGGAGCATCGATTTTTTTATCGATGCCTCAGCGGCCGACGGGTGTCCGAAAACACGTCCGCCGTCATCTCTGGATATTTGATTGACTGATCGGAGTGGATTCTCGGAGCGCTTGTAATTTATTAATTTATTCCGTCGATAAATCGCTTTCAATCCGCACGTGGGCAGCGGACGACCGGTCCTTGGCATCTCCCTCTCCTTCTTTCTCTCTCTCTCCCTCTCTCTCCCTTTCGCCCCTTTCAATCTGGCGTCTCTCTTCGTCGCTTTCATCCGTCCCTTTAAAGGGGGGAAGGCCGTTATTTCACCGCCGATGTAAATAGCGGCGGCGTGGTGTGTCATTTGCGCGCGTTGCACAATTGGTGGATGTTATGCAAACCGAGCTAAAGTACCGGGCACTAATTTTAAGTAAATTAAGTTTAAAATGCATAGCTCCTCCCGCCTGACTCTCGATTACGAACGAGACTAATTACCCTCTGTCAACGTCCTCTTCTCTTTATTTTTCACCACGCGCACATAGTGTCCGTTTTTACGAACAAAAATCGATATTTAAAATCTATTCAATCTAAAATATATTCATCTAAAATTTTATATACATAAATAATATACGGGAAACAATTATATATGGAAACAGTTCTCTTATAGTCACTGGCCAAATTTGGAACAATTAAGACAATGAGGGGGAAGAGAGTATATCAACTGTCAGGTCGATATTTGGTAAAAAATTGGTATTATTTATATATTTTATCATATTTCAGATACTATACTTTTTGTTTGCGAGAAGAAAAACTTTCTACGTTACGTTTTTCTTTATAAAAAACAGCTTTTTCCATAAAAAAAGAGACTCTTTGCAACGCTGTGCATCGTTCGCTTATCCACGTCGCGAGAAAACGTGCCGCGACGAGATTTCCGCTGCGTCGCGAATATATCTCGCTTCGGGCAATCTTCTTTTCGTCGAGAATGACGTTCAGACGTTTCCTTTTTTTTTCCTCACTGTGTTCTTCATCCTCACGAGACGCGCACACACCGGAATGGAAATATAAATACTAAAGTCCAAAGTCTACTCTCTACTCTCGAGTCGCGCAATGAAGCAAAGCGGCGACCAGTTCCGCGATCGAAGTCCTCTCGACACGTCCGCTATGTTAATCGCGCATGATCGTATAAATATTCAAACACCGCTGGACCATTGCACGGACGGACCTCCGTGCTGCCTCCGTGCTACCGACGGCCAACTTATCTCGGTACATCTACTACTACCTGCCGCGCATAGATAATTAACAATGAGTAACGACGTACAAATCGGACGGCTCGCTCGCAGCGATCAACGATCGGGACACGAGGGAATGCGATTCCTAGCGATCCACCAGTGCCTGCACTCCGAATAAAAGCGCCAGCTCGACTCGATTGAGCCGTAACAGTTAATTATTCGGCCGAGAGAACTTTTATTCGGCGCGCTAATCAACCGTGAGGGCGACCTCTTAAATCGATGGGAAATAACGTTCATCCTTTCCCGGGAAACCGACTGCCGGCGACAATCGGGACCAGGATTCGCCAGCGTTTCAACTGCTTCCTGCCTGCATCGTTCGCCCGATAGAGACATTCGCGAGGAATCGGGCCAAGATACGTTTCAATTATTTCCGCGGGATGCACGTCGGACTTGCCAAAAATCCGAACGCCAATTCCGGAGAAACCAGTTTCGCCGATCGCCGAAACGGCGAACGCGATCGACGTCGCCGCGAGTGCATACCGGTTTAACCTCGGGATATCATCGAGGTACCATAAGGATCTTTATTTCCGCACCAACGACGTGAGCGAGCATCTACGTAGCGGCATCTACGAGTTGCTTGCACATGCAAATGCGCGACCGACGCGACTGTGTCTCTTCAGCTGGATTATTTTATTATTTATTACACAACTTTATTGTTACTTTATTCGACACTGTGAAAACTGATGTGTTAAATTTAACACATTTCATATGTCTCAAATCATTCATTCTTATTTATGTGTAAATTTAACACAAATGTGTTAAAAAGTAACACGCATAATATGGAATAAATTAACACAAGAATTCAACACTTCAATACCGTTAGGAATCAGAGGTTGTGTTAAATTGACATATTTAACATGTCAGACATAGATTATGTCAATTTAATATTTTCATTTCATCAAAACCATAGATTAATACTCCTATCAAATGTTAAAGTAACGTTTTATTTAAGTTAATTTAACATTATACATATGTCAATTTAACACAAACTGTGATTCCTGACGGAAATTCAAGTGTTAAATTCTTGTGTTAATTTTTTACATATTATACGTGTTACTTTTTACCACATTTGTGTTAAATTTTGTGTTAAATTTACATATAAATGAGAGTGGATGATTTTGGACACATGAAATATTAAATTTAACACATCAATTTTTACAGTGTAGGACTATTGAATTTTGCGTAAAAATATTGGAATCCAATGAGCTCATGCGAATTAACTAGTAGAAAAGATTATAATTCGTGTCGTTTGTGTGAATAAGAGTCAAGCACAGATGATGTAGCGCTGCAAACAATTTTATTTATCAAACAATTATATTACATAAAACAATTATATTTACATAAATTATACAATTTAATTATATTACATTAAACAATTATATTTACATAAATCTAGGTGTCAAATATTTGTATGTGTGTGTGTGTGTGTGTGTGTGTGTCAAAATATTATATAATAAATAAATAAATAAATAAAGTCCATTTGTATTGATGTAATATTAATACAAATATTTGACACCAGCGGATGTAAGTATAGATAAATATAATTGTTTATAGCGCTACATCATTTGCGCTTGGCTCTGATGGACCCTTCGTCATATTGATTTCAATTCCTCAGCGTTTTTCTCATTCCTTTTATTATTATTTGTGCCGAATTGTTTATTTTCCAAAACTTTTACGTTATTACTTGGCGTCGCAGTGCGAACTTTTCGTACATTCCTCACGGTCCGCTTTCGCTTCGCTCTCATCCGTCTATTTATTCTCTCTAGACAAACGATCTCGATGGAATTCTTTGTATCGGAGCCATCTAATACCAGGAACGGACCCGCAACGCGGGCCTCGGCTCGACTCGATTTAACTCGCTCAAGTACTCGGAATAGTTATTAATTATCTCCGTGCAGACGCCGGCTAATTGGACCGCGTCGTGTATGCATCTAGCACGCGGGATGTGAGACGCGAAATTTTAATTCCTCACGAATTACAAATCGGCATAAAATCTTCGTTGTCGTTATGGATCAAGTTTTTCTCGCTCTCGCGCAAATGGAACGAAATTCGTTCATATTTCATAAATTTGGCAAATTTGGTAATTTGGTAATTTTCAATGAATTTTGGAAGAAGCACGCGCGAAACTCCACGACCGGGATGGAAAAGAATATTTTGGGAAATAAACGGAAATATACGCGCGAGAGAGGAAAAATTTCGTGAGGAAGCAAGCGAGAAATTGAGCTCAAATGAATTCCTCAAGTCACACTCCGTCTATTTTCCACGGAGATGGGAGAAAGCTATCGACAAGGAGGAAGGACCAAACGGTGCGCTGAACGTTGGTATCCTGCTCTCTGATCGTCGGCTGCATTTCAATGAAGCGACGAGCCGGGAAGTCAGCGAACGAGCTCCCGAGGTGCTCGCACACTGGCCGAAGCGCACCACCGTGAGAAATCGAATTTCCCATGTGAATTTGTCGCGCACGTCGCGATCGCGAACGGAATCCCGAGCTGCCATCGTTTGCATTCGCGATGCACTGCGGTGCGACGCTCGTTCGCGCCGCGGCGGCGCCGCGACGCGTTCGCGGATAAATAATGGCACGTCCATCAAGACGGGCGACGCGCCAACCGTGCGGTTCGTCCAACGGCACATCGGCGTGTTCGCGTTGCATTCTGCAATTTGGATAATGCGCGCACCTCTCTGCTTCACGCGCCGACCTGTCATTATGGAAAGCCCGGGCGTGGAGAGACAATGCGAGAGCGATTAAAGGAATAGGAACGCGCGATAATGAGCGCCGCTCCCGGCGACGAGACGACAGTGCGTAGCCGCACGTGTCGTAACGCACCGTCCCGTTGAGAACATTCGTAGAAGGATCGCGATCGCACATTCCGCGAGGTCTCTATGTCCAGCTAAATCCAATGATGATCGATCATCGAATCCAGATTCGAACAAGCTGCACACAATTCCGGCTCAACCTTGACACAGTCTAGAAAAAGAGAGAAAGCCAAGTTTAATAATTTATTTAATCGTGTATACAAACGCGCGGAGTGCTGTAGAGCACGCAACCTTAATTGATATTGATAGGTTCTTAAGCGCAAATAATGACGAAAGTCCTGATATTAAACGTCGAGGTCAGAATAGTTCTCAGCATTGAATAAATTTTAATGTTAGTTATTATTATCAAAAAAGATTCTTTAAAAGATTCTTTTACAGCTGTATATCATATGGGAGACATAAAAGAGTCGTCAAGCTGATAACGAAAACGATCAGATAGTAATGTTCGGTCGTAAATATTGCTATCGCGGCTGCACTTGCGGCAGCTTGGCCGCTGCCGGTATCGCGCCCCGGCGAGCCACCCTCCACCCTCTTGCAAGTCGGAGCCCGAGCATCGTTACCGATGGCGTACTACGGACAGAGTGCTAGCAGCGGCGCTGGTAGCGCGTCACCGAGGGTGAACTTGATGGTTGCTCGCGTTGTCGGTGCGCGATCAGTGGGTAGACTCTCGCGGGGGTGACAACATACCCCCTCCGCGTAGAGCAGCTAGCCGCCCGCACGTACGTACGTACGTACGGACGGACGGACAGAACGTAGGAACAGGAAGACTGCGGCGCTATCATATGGAGCCGAACGACGGGGTTGCGTGTTAGGCGAATCGGCGGTCCCGCTACCGCGGGACGAGCGCGAGGGCCTACCACGAGGGGAACGCGAATGATCGATCCGACAGTTCGGTGAGTGAGTGAAGGAGCGAGCGAGTGACGAGGTAGCGGAAGAGATCCGCGAAGAAAGAAAGAAGGAAGGAAGGAAGGAAGGAAGGGAGCAAGTGTCTCAGAGAGCTGGCGAGCCAGCCCCGATGGGCTTCCAAGTGCGCGCGTACCGAACTGGCCGGAGAACCCAGAAATGGGTCAACCCAACCCAGCGGCGGCCGGACGTGCGGCCGTTTTCTCGTGCGAGTCACTCGGTGGCCTAGTTTCGTCGGGGGCGAGCAAATAAAAAGAGTCGCGACGCACCCCCTTGGTCCCTTCCGCCCCGTGAGACGGCGGCGACGTTACACGCGTGGAGTCGCCGACATCGACGTCGTCGTCGTCGTCGTCGTCGTCGTCGTCGTCGTCGTGGTGATGATCGTGGTCGTGGTGATCTCGTGATCGTCGTTGTCGCCGTCGTCGCCGTCGTGGATGCGACGTGACGTGTGACGTTGCCGATCGCTGATCGAAGTGTTCGCTCTCTCGCGCGCGCCAAAGAGGAAGAAAGAGTTATGGATTCTTGCGGATTTCCTGCTGGCCTTCGGCTGGCGAGAGTCCATCGATTGACTCGCCGCCCCGACGTCGCGATACAGCCATAAAAGACACGGCTGATAGCCGAGCCGCTGCGGGGTGGAATACCGCCGTGAGGTGAGAGAAGCCACATCAGACCACCGTTGTTTCGTGAAAGTGGGATGATAGAGTGCTTGGAGATGGAGAATGTCCATCATCTCAGTCCCGATTCGCGATTTCTCGCTGTTCTCGTCGAGATCGAGCGCGATACGTTGAGTGATGCGGCTGGTCGGAGTCAGTTGTAGTGGCGCACCGTGATCAGATGCTGCTGTAATCGTCGCGATCTGTTCATTTCAACGGGAGGGTGAAAGAGAGGTAGGAATTCTGTGAGAAAGAATTGCCATCGGAAGGAGCGCGACAATTCGCCACGGTTACTATGCCGCCGACGTGCCGTCGCAACTGCCCGTTTCACGGTCGCGGGAGGGATGCACGGAAGCGCACTCGGTTCGATCGCGCTCCCAGGAGAATTGAGAAATGTCGGGAAAATGGAACCACGTCGCGACAGCGGAATTGCTCTCAAGTGTTCATTCGCGTCGGCCGTGTCCGGTGAAAATTAGAGAGCATCCGGCGGGACGGAGGTGCTCCCGCGCCGTCGAAAGTCATACCTGTAATCGGGTCCAGAGCGGCGCAGCTCGGTGCTCCTCGCCGCGAATGACAAGTCATGCAGGAGTTTACGCAAAAATGTCATTGAATCGTCCAGATGTGCGGGCTGCGTGTCGCATCGGCGATGCGTGAAGGCAAGTTTAATCGATCGGAGCCTCTTTGTTAAACGGGCGAGCGCGATTTGACGTCGATACTCTGCCGGAACCGGTTCCGCGAGAATGACCCAGAGATCGGGGGGTTCACTACGCGGCGGTCACCGCGCCGGGGTCATATCGATTGCCGGAAGAAGCTAATCGAAATTGCGCGCATTACGTCGAATTAACCGTCGTAAAGTGTCGCCTCGTGCCTCTACCACGAATGTGTAGCGTAAGTGAGCCTGAAATAATCGCAATCCGCGGCCTCACCCTCGTTCCGTGTCGCGCCGAACGTCGACCGCGATGGAAATGCCGCGGAAGCGTTTCCTATCTGTGACTCGTGTATCATTTGTGAGGCGCGCTCTCAGCGACACGAAGAATAACGAAGCGAACGGGCCAAATCGAGAGAAACAAGAGAAGTCATTACGATGACAGAGGGAGCGACAGTAATTCTCTCTTAACAAAGATATTAATCGCGAGCGCGATACGGCACGCGCGATAACGCCAAACGTCGCGTAAATATTCATACATCGATTCGCGGTTTTCATTTGCAATTTTAATGTTAGACGCGCGATTGATTGCAAATTATAAATAACGAGCGTGGCTGCCTGTGCGCGGTAGTAATGATCGTTGCTCTCACACTTCCATCGGGATTATTAATGGTAATATGATGAATCTCCGGTAATTAAAGGCTTCCGCAGTGAATGTCGGTAAACGATATTTACGCGGGCGGATTACGTTACTCGTTACCTTCCCTACATTATTTAACCTCGAAAACTCCGAATTAATCTCCGCCTACGCACGTCCACGAGGAGCGCGGGCGCGCGATATCGCTTGGCGGTAAATACGACACGGGGAGGTCCTCTGGTGTCCGGTATCACTCGCTCCGTGATCGCTGTGTTTCTGTGTTAACGCGGAACGATGCAATTTTTTTTTTTTGGCGAAGGATCGGCAACGCTATCCCGGACACGCTGAAAATGGCGTCCAGCAAACTGCCGGAGATGAACTACACGTGCGAGATCTGCGGCCTGGAGGGCTTCAACGACGAGGAGATGCGGTCGCACATGGTGCTGTATCATCTTCAGGGCGCCGCCAACTGTCCATTCTGCGACCTCGGCGAGATCTCGCCCACGGAGATGCTGGTACATGTCAACAGCGCTCACCTGGACTATCTGACCCCAAGGTACGCTTCACCGTCACGAGGACCTGTTCTCTCGGGCCGTGTGTATCCGTGTAATTCACACTTCTGCACATTTTCATTCCTACGTAAAATAATGATAGGGAGAGCACGGTGGAAATAAAATCGCTTTGATTCGCTTTACTTTGTCCAGTTTCTGCCGTTCCCTTTTGCTATTATCGAAAGTTGATAAAACTGGAAAGTTGCATTGGTTTTTTTCGGAGGAATTTAATAAAAATTGGACTATAGATTTTAAGTGCACGAAGAATAGTGGACATGAGATTGACCGATGAATATCATCGCTTTCCATTCGAGTGCGAAAATTTTTATTCGTTCGTTTTATTCCCAATTTTATTATTTATCGACGTGACTGCAAAGTGTCGCTCAACTGTAGCTGCAGATATTCAATGTACATTCGCGGTGTAGAATTGGCTAGCAACCGTAGATTAACCGGCAATTGCCGGGCACCAGTAAATTACCGTGTAACGTTACCAATCCGCCAGTAAATTACCGGTAACTTTACCGACGTGCCGTTTAATTTCACGACCGGTGAGTCAGGATACGCTACACTGGCGAACGGTCTAAATCAGGGTAACGCCGTGAACTTCAAGATTGCGCCTCCCCACACGGATTCGCTATCGATTGCGTTATTTAATGTTACAAAGTTGTAACGAATACCGTTTCACGTAAAAATTGTTGTCACGTGATACAGTTTTAGTATTTTCATTGAAAAAGATCTTTATTTCTCTCTTCTTATTTAAGACTTCGAATAAGAAGACCCGCTTTTTATGCACATATTTTATTTTATTGATATCAATATATTTTTACGACATACGCAATATATCTTTACACGTAACGCTCGCGTGTAAATTCATCCGCATTTAATATAAAATTATAATTTCGCATCGTAGTTAGGCACAACTTAACATCGTCTACGCCTACGCGCGAATTATCGCAGTTCACATGAACATCTAACGCCTAGGTTTAATTTAAAGTGCATGTCACTGCGGTACGAGCGAACTATATATAATCAATAGCGCGTCACACAACACGTGTGCACAATTCAAGCTGCGGAATTCGTCCGAAGATACCCGCGCGCCGTGTGTATGTGTGTATGTGTGTGCGAATAACAGCTGATTTAGAAAATGGCGGGAAACGGCAGGTGGAGAGCGGCGAGGAACGTGAGAGGGTCTTTTCGACTGGGAACTAACGCGACCAGTCAGTACAGTGTTGGCAAACGTCCTGCCTCTCGTCGTCTCGCACCTGCGTGCGCTCGTTCGTAAACGTAAACCGAGGCGTCCGATAATCGCTCGTTCGCAGGTCGTGCGGGCAGTTTACAGTTTTCTTTTTCGTCCTTCTTTTTTTCCCTCGCCGCGTTACATTCCAGCACCCCAGAGAACGATATGATGGCATTCATCGACGACGACTCGTTGATGGACGACCACGGACGCGACGAGTGCAGAGCAGTTTCACCGTCGATGTCCCTGCGACCTCCTTACATGCAGAACGGTTGGGGCAGTTCTCTGGGGTGGCGTGTTAAGGAACAGCAGCAACAGCAGCAGCAGCAGCAGCAACAGCAGCAACAACAACAACAACATCTACAGCAGCAGCAACAGCAACAGCAGCAAAAACAAATATCGCCGAGAAAGCCGGACGTCCAATTGGCGAATCCCAATATGTATAATAATAACAATAATAACAACGCCAACAATGGTAAGCGACCGTTGTCTTGCTTGTGTTTGGTGTGACGAATGAACCATGCGGCACTCGCTTTTTGTTCAGTGTTGGAGGGCGCAGCTGGCCACGGTTCACCGTTGCGTTCAGGCCTAAATCTACAGCTGCGCTCGCACGCTTCCCCAAAACTTCCAATACAGGAGTGCCCGATGTGCCCCTACAGTTCCGACAGTCCGCTCAGGCTGGAAGAGCATATCAATCGCCAACACTTTGATCTCACCTCGCCGTCCTTCCCACCGGAATCACCGCCGTCACGGGACGGTGTCTTCAACTGCCCACTTTGCGTTACGTCTTTTCCGAATTCTTCTGATCTTGAGTTACACGTTAATATTGAGCACAAGGATATACTCAGGTACGTAACTTGTCCGCAGCTTCACGATATCTGCAAAGTGGCGCCACGATTATGTGCTCTCAAACGAATATTCAACTGTTGGGATTAATTTGCAGCCCTGCGAATGGAACAGCCTCACAATCCGACGTAGCCACTATCGGTAGCGACACACCCGCCTGTCCAGTATGTCTCAGTACGTTGTTCAAAAACAATGACGACCTAATGGCACACATCGAAGAACACTTCAGCAAGAAGAACACGCCGTCGCCTGTGACGCCGGACGTGTCGACCGATAGGTTGCTGGCGAAGGATATGGAGAGAAGAGAGAAAGAGGTGAGGAAACTGCGCGAACAGCGTGAGTTCGAGATGCTGAGAGCGCAATACGGCATGGACAATCAGGGTAACTTCCGGGAGCAGAGCGTCACCAATATGCAACGCGCGGTGTACGCGGGCGAGATGACGGTGGCCGACTTCTTTGAGAGGCAGATCGAGCTCCGAGTAGCCGAGAGTAGTGGCATCGACGACGGCAGTTCTTGTACTCGCGGTAAATCATTTTAAAGGGAAATTCTTTTCTACTTAGAAAAGAGAAAAGAAAACTACTCACGACGTTGTTGCTCGTTTCTTTGCGCAGGGCTGGTCCCGAAAGTGCGAGCCGTCAGTCACACATACACTAATGTAGTGAGCACCTGGATGTGTTCCACCGTGGACCATTACGCGTCAACCTACGGCGACAAGGGCTGGGGTTGCGGTTACAGGAACATCCAGATGCTAATCTCGTCTCTCTTGCAGCACACAGGGTACAACGAGCTAGTTTACAAGGCGTGGAGCTCAGGCGCGGGCAGCAATAGCTCCACGGAGAGCCCGTTGCGCACTTCGATGCCATCGATCTCCCGGCTGCAGAAGATGATCGAGTGGGCGTGGGCGCAGGGCTTCGATATCCAGGGTGCTGAGCAGCTCGGCGGTAAACTGGTCAACACCAGGAAGTGGATCGGCGCCACGGAGGTATTCACGCTGCTGTCTAGTTTGAGGATAAAGTAAGTTCCATGATCACGGCCGGTTGCCAAAGTCATACGATGCATACCGTTTTCCCCGACTGTCTCACACAGGTGCCTGCTGGTGGACTTTCACAGACCCACCTGCGCGGACGGTGGCCATCCGGAATTGTTCCACTGGGTCCTGCGGTACTTTCAGAAATACGATGACTTTAAGCCGCCTCTTTACCTTCAGCATCAAGGTAAAACGGACTTCTTATTGACCTCTCGAGTTATCGTCCTTATTATTATGCCTATAAGGCATAACAATAAAGGATGATGGTTGTAATTAAAACGCGACAATCGCCGCGAAAACGAAGCAAATCGAACATTCGATGAATAATGCAAGATCGATTATTATTATAATCGTTCTCCCGGTAAGATAACGCATCCATCGTTCCGTTCAGGACACAGTAGAACGATAATGGGCGTGGAACAGTTGAGGGACGGCTCCATAATCATGTTGGTGTTAGATCCCAGTCACAGTCCGGCGCAAATGTCACATTTCAACAGCACAAGCAGCGCGCCCGGTGCGATGCGACTCGTGCGGAAGTCTACAGCGGCGATGAAAGCCAGACAGTACCAAGTGGTCGCTGTAACCGGCATTATGGACACAGAAGCGCAGTATCAAGTAATAACACCTTTAAACCGTTATTTATGGACGATACGCGCGTAGCGCCCGTTCTATTTTCACGTGTCTCCCTCTCTCTTTCTCTCTCTCTCTCTCTTTTTTCAGCATAGTAAAGTTCTACGATCAATGCGTGTTCCTCAAGACAGGTGAGAGTTGCTGGTTCGAGAAGCAAACGAGCTCGAGCCTCGAAGCGCAAAGACTATAGACTACTGCCTCAAACCGATCTTGTCCGGCATCCTTCGAGTTACGTGACCGCGATGTCCTATGTTCTCTACCGCTAGCCGACTTACTCCATTGTAGTAGTTGCAGATAATATTATTTAACAATATATTCTTGCATCTCTCTAGCCGTTAATGGTGGACTGACTCCTTGATAAATCGTTATGCCCGCGCAATAAGCCCGCGAGGGCGGAGCTGACTTGCACGGATATCAAAAGGCTCTTCGACGCGCTGCCGTTCGAGCGATTTTAATGTAACTCGTTTTGATTTTAATGTAAAATCTCCGCCGCCCCCTCCTCGCTGTCTCCCCACCCCCAAACGTGGGAGAAAGTCCTTATATCTTAAAGTGAATAAGAAAGTTCGTCGTACTACGCGCGCGCGCGCGGATGAATTTCTATGAATCTCCGCGAGAATTATCAACTCTGGAAAATGAATGTGTGTCTCTATGTGTGCTTGAGAATAAAAAAAAAGATGTTCAGAGAAGAAAGAGATCGGCAGATCCGTGAGAGGAAGATACTGTTAAAAATGATCGTCGTGTTTCTCTTGTCCAAAAAAAATGTTCTGCTCAATCTTCACCGCGGCGAACAGGCTGCGCTAATCCTTAGCCGACCAATCGTCTCGCACTGATCGATTGATCATCATCGAGAAAGTCGTGGCAGAGCTTGGGAAAAAAAGAAAAATGCGAATTGGAGACTTTTTCGTAGCTGTGATGCTTGGAAAACTCGGAGACTTTTTCGTAGCTGTGATGCTGTTATCAATTCAACGCTGATCACTCATAAATCCGATGGACACACTCTTGGAAACGCTCCAGAATCGACGCGCGGTGTTCCCAGTGCACTCGTCTCGTTCTTCACATTCCGCGACTCGCGACGAAGGATACTTCTCGTCAACACGTCGATTTTTAGTCAATATGAAAAGTGCCGAGAGCCATACAATATATACAATTACAACAAATTTTATATAATGATACGAAAGATATTCTTTGACGAATTTTGATTGCTAAAAACGCTTCTATGGGAGTCTGGAGTGTCTGCAAAAGTGACTATATCGCATTTTCATACATATATGTATACATACATATACACACACACACACATATGTATATGTATATACATATATATATATATATATATATATATATAAAATGTGTATATATATATATATATATATATATATATATATATATATATATATTTATATACATACATATATACATATGTATATATGTACACATACGGTATACACATACAAAAACACAGACACACACACACATTACACATTTGCACACTCTCTTCGTTATATCGTATTTCACTTGCCCACACATAAAAAGTACAACTACTTTCATACTAATTACAAATATTCTATTTAATTATTCAATCGATTCTAGGCTACATTTATGTCCTAGCTCGTAAGTCCAACGCAATGCTGTGAATGAGAAGATAGATGAAGAAAAAAAAGAAAAATACTACAGAGTCCATTTACTTGTTATTTATATTATACACTTTACGATTACGTGACTTAAATTCTTATTATTATTAATCTTGTCATGTTTCTCACACACATAAATTGTACTGATATATCTCTAAGATCTATCTATTATTATAGTTAAAGATGTATTTGCGACCATTCGATGGCGGACGCGACACCCACCCAATCCGCGTGAACGTCGTGTCGTTGTTTTGTATAGCTTCGATAATTATGGTGCACCAGTCGAATGTAAGTTTGTCTTTCAGCCCAGTAGGACCACGTCGCAATAACGATACGACGACTGACCGCAAAGAAACGTCAAAAACGATGACGGTTATTAGTTATAATACTGAATTTCGCCATAAGTCGATTAAGAATCTGTTCATTATTTGGAGTGTTCAGGGAAACCAAGCTGTGGAATTGTTATGCAAGAAGTAAAAACCTTCGCATTAGCCACACATCAAATTAAAATATATGCTTTGTTAGAATTCCCAGTATGGCTTCTCCTTTTATATTCCCAGTCTCTTCATTTCAGAGATGAAAGATTAAGATCTGCTATCAAAGAACATGAGAAAAAATTGCCTGAAGAGAGCGTTGATGAGGATATATTTACTCTGAATAAATAATTAATTATATAAATTTTATTTTTTATTAGTAATAAACTTTATCAATAATCTGCTTTACAATCTTGTTGTGTCACAGACAGAAGAGCAACAAAAAATATGAATTTATCTACATTATGAGGAACTCATTTAGTTTGATGCAAACAATACTATCTCTACAAATTCTAGGAGTAATGTACAAAGGCATTACGTAAACATCAAAATGCCTATCACCTGAGTGTTGTCAAGATTCTTTGTTCTTCATGGCGGGATCCTTGCACGGTAATATAATCTTCCTTCTCACATTGTATTTTATATATTAAATCCCATAGATCTCATACAAACTTTGTGCGCTTCTATAAGATCGCCGCAATTTTCCTCGCCTTTTTCTATTATACTGTGAACAGAGGAATTTAGATATAACAATGGTGCAATAGCTATTGATGCAATATTTCCTACACAACATCTAACATTTTGAGAATTTCTTAGAAACGTCTTATATTCCGATTTTGGACATAGTGTTGTGTGGGTTGTTGATTGCATGCATTGCTACTTGTCACATTATTCTTTGTCTTTCTTTTCTGTATAAAAATCAAAGATATATGTACGTGGAATCATTGATCGTATATTAAAATATAAATTAAAGAGATTGCCATTGATATATGTGTATCCTAGTCATGATAATTACCGCAATATTTCTAACCAATATATTTGTGCAAATATAACTCGAATTATAATTTACATACCATGTGTCCCTCGCTTTCTTTGTTTCAGGGCAAGCGCAGCAAGGTTTTAATTTCTTTTTCTCCTCCGCCTTGACCTCTACTTTCGTCGGTTCATTGCCCATTTTTAGTAATTATATCACACTAGGTTCAAGAAAAACAACGGAAAATTTGCAACAATTTCCACAATGTGTGAAACGCAAGTGCTGTATGCGCAGTAGCGCGACCTGTCGGCATCTTTAATGTAACGTTCAGTCGCACCACAATGTATATAGTGCTGCCGCTGTGTTCGTAATATGTGAACTTTCTAGTGTCATGCTCAGAAATTCGTCTCTGTAGATAACATAGCAGACAGCTTCGGTTTCGTTCCGTACTATGTCGGCGGACGGGAACGAGTCTGTTGGTTGCGAAGACATAGAGAAAATAATAAAGGTACGTGGCTATAGAGATAAAATTTAAAAAATAGAGAGGCGCAATGCGCTGATTAGACTTTCAAATCACTCTTTGATTGTTCCAAATTAAATTTATAAATTTTACCTTTACTGTCAAGATTGAAAAAAATTTGAAATAAGTATCCTAGAAGAAAATTTATATTAAATAGTAGAAACCGATGTAATTTGATTTTTGTATGTGTTATTAGATGCTTGATACACACATGAAATAATGAAGGTACGTGACTATGGAGATAAAATTAAAAAAAAAAATAGGCGCAATGCTGATTAGACTTTTAAATCACTTTGATTTAAATCACTTTGATTGTTCTTAACTAAATTTATAAATTTTACCTTTACTAAATTTATAAATTTTACCTTTACTGTCAAGATTGAAAAAAATTTGAAACAAGTATTCTAATAGAAAATTTATATCAAATAGTAGAAACCGATGTAATTTGATTTTTGTGTGTGTTATTAGATGTTTGATACACACATGAAATATATTTATTATTTATTGACATTATATAATTGTTTCACACAACATCCGGCACACAGTTAGCACGCGACAAGACGCGCGAATATCTAGCGAAGTTCCATTTTTACCTAATTATATCGTGTATTTATCATGTCTGTTCTTGAATCGATCGGAAAGAAAGTTTCTCACTCACGGAATTCCTTCGGTATGTTTCAACATACTCGCGTGCCTGCACGCACGCTTTACGCACGCAGTACAAGATGTATCTACACAAGACTTGAATAACATCGGAGTTATTATTCGCTTCTTTGGGTGCACCCCACAACAAAGCTCCGTCAACACGAATAATGACAATATCAGCACGAATAATGACAATATCTCTATCAGTGATTTAAATATTCCGCGCGAAAAAATTTTTTCGATAGTTTTCGAAACTATTTCTTTTCTCGAGACTGATGAAAGTTATTTCTGAACTCTTTAAAAAATGTAAAAGTAAGGTAAAAATTTGGATACGTACAGTAGATTGCAAAACGTTTTAGACACGTTGGGAGCTCACCAAACTGTCAAAATTAAGAGCCGTTACCGACCGATTATGCAATAATAATATAATTAATAAGGTAATTAGGAGTATTAAATAATAATAATAATACTAATAACTAATAATAATAATTAATAATATAATTATTGGGCAAGTCCGTCATACAGAATGATTCTCAATTTTGATAGTTTACTGAGCTCCCAATTATGTATGTATTGAATATATATATATGTATGTATGTATGTTATATTAAAAGTTAAAATATTTATATAAAGACCGAAACAATAAGAAGTTCCAGAATTAAGTACGTGGCCAGACATTGGCATTTTTCTTTCAATTGCAGAACAATCCACGCTAAGACGAATCAATGTCGCGCAACTTCATCTTTCATTTAATATCCAATTAATTCCACTCGGTTCTCTGAATGCAGCGTGCGAAGAATCCGACGAGTGAAGAGGAGGCAGCGCGGTCTTAACGAGCGCGCACACGACTAATTGCTCGACTAACTAACCGAGCCCGATAGAATTAAACGACGTCGGGAAGCTGATTGATAAACACGAAGAGTTTTTGCCGCGACGCCCGCAACTTTCTACGTCGCTACCGCGTTTTCACTCGTAATCTATCGCATCTGCCGATCGGATATCGAAACCTTGAAGGGCAGATGGTGTCGGGGCGATGCGTGATTACGACGTAGCAGGTGTAGTCTTGAGCTCGCTCGTTCGCCCGCTCGCGCGCGCGACAGGTGAACCGGAGACGGCTTTAATTCCCGCCTGCGCTCAAGATTGCCACCGAATGTGGAAAGTCTCGCAGCTTGCAACCTGACGAGAAAACAAAAGAACTTTTCCCTCGAAAACAAGAAATTGAGAGCACCCTTTCAAGGAAAGAGCATCTCGCGCATCGATCAAACCGCGTTAAAGAAATTATCATTAGGTTAGATCATTAGATTAGGTTAGCTTATTCTTCAGTTGCAAACAGCGTTCTTGTTCCCTTTTATATTCTGTTACACAGTGAGAGAAAAAATATCTAAAAAATGTAAATATTTATCCAGGATATGTGTGAGTACTAATAAATAAATATAAATATAAAATAGGTAAGTACTAATAATAATATATTTACTTAAATACACGTTCTTTTATTTCAACAGAATGAACAATTGTTTTCATGAAGAGCTAAGATTTTAAGAAAATGTATATCTTCTTACTTGAACAATATTTTATATTAGTACAAGCGAATATGTTATTCGTACGCACTGAATAAATATATTCCATTTCTTAGACACTTGTTTTCTTAGTGTATACTTACTTCACTCTAAAGACAAGTGCAACCCAATTGCAACTAAAGCGGCCCATTAATTCCCGCCTGCGCTCAAGATTGCCACCGAATGTAGAAAGTCTCGCAGCTTGCAACCTAACGAGAAAACAAAAGAACTTTTCCCTCGAAAACAAAAAATTGAGAACACCCTTTCAAGGAAGAAGCATCTCGCGCATCGGTCAAACCGCGTTGAAGAAATTATCATTAGGTTAGACCTTATTCTTCAGTTGCAAACAGCGTTCTTGTTCCCTTTTATATTCTGTTACACAGTGAGAGAAAAAATATCTAAAAAATGTAAATATTTATCCAGGATATGTGTGAGTACTAATAAATAAATATAAATATAAAATAGGTAAGTACTAATAATAATATATTTACTTAAATACACGTTCTTTTATTTCAACAGAATGAACAATTGTTTTCATGAAAAGCTAAGATTTTTAAAAAATGTATATCTTCTTATTTGAACAATATTTTATATTAGTACAAGCGAATATGTTATTCGTACGCACTGAATAAATATATTCCATTTCTTAGACACTTGTTTTCTTGGTGTATACTTACTTCACTCTAAAGACAAGTGCAACCCAATTGCAACTAAAGCGGCCCATTACCCGTTCCAGTCGCGTGCGCGCGCGATTTTCAAGGCGAAGAGAACCGGCATTATTGCGCGCGGAAACCGCGGAACCGCGTCTTGGCGATAATTTATTTCGGGCATCTCTACGCGAGGAGACACGCGCGGAATACAACACGCGATCGATCGTGCGTGTCCCGGTATTGATTGATCGACCGTCCGCGTGCACGCGTGGTCGCACCGCGAGAGTGAATCGAGCGGATCGCTTCGCATGCTCCGCGTATAGTCGCGTGGCTTCGGTTTTTCCCAGGACGACGCGATTTCCGACGCGACGCAGGCCCGTGTTGTTCTTCTCGTAAATATAAACCGACACTCGACAGTGGGAGAACGACTGGGAATAATTCCGCCGGATGAATACTAACGTACCTTTGTCGACTGCTACCACCGACGGTGTCATACCTCTCCTCTCTCTCTTTCTCTCTCTTTCTCTCTCTCTCTCTCTCTCTCTCTCACTCAGGGTCTCCTTTTTACGATAATGAAGACCCGGCGTCGCGATAAGAATACCACTTAGCGATCGGTGACGTCCGTGAGAGCGCGGAGAGGATTTCGCGGACTCGCGATTTCCCGACGCGCTTTCGCACCTTCCGACAGGTGCGACCTCGCGTCCGCGAAGTGCGATCGAGCGGCTTTTTCGAGTTTGCCCCGGGGACGGCGCTCTTTTATGCCGATGGCTGTAAATCGTACCGCTACACTACGTCGTAAAGCTATCCGGGAAGCCGTAAAACAAACGCCGGCTTCGCGGTCGGCGATCCTCCCGGCGAAACTAGTTTCGGAGCAGCAATTAATTCCGTCGTCGAGGATCGACTCGGTTGACGACGGGTACGCCGATCGATCGATGACGTGTCGTGAGATATGGTGTTAATTAGATCGCAACAACTAGGTGCATATTTTAAGAAGTAGATCTGAAAATACGCGGATATTATCGTTGAAGTATAAGTAAGGTAGAAATATTAATGTATCTGGACATCAATAACACAGATACCTAACTCGGGACATTTTTATTGTTTTGGTTTTTAGATATGAATATTTAAACTTTCAACGTAGAATATACGTAAAGGAGACAAATAGTGACAATTTAAATTTCTCCTATTTCCCGCGTCTATGCGTACTACCACCGTCAATAGCGAGTAAGTTCTCGAATATCTAATCATCTTTGAAAAAAGCGATTAAACTGCTAAGCCAAACATAGCTAATAAAGAAGCCTAAAATTTTGGCCTTTGTGAAACAAGGTAAAATCTGAATATTATTGGATATTTCTATTGTTATCTATATATTTAGATTGTTTTGATTCCTGAACTCCTAAATGAGATTTTATATGTTCAGCGTTGTATAATAAATGTGTTTCTTCTAGTGTGATCTAACCTCTATACGTATATATTAATTTATTTATTGTTTTAAGTGTTTCAAAAGAAGAGACTCCTGAGACAAAGAGTGAAAAATTTTTAATAACGTTACTTGTCTTATTCAGTGTTAGTTGAATTGCATTTCTTCCCACTTATTTTGTTGGGTGTAACTTAAAAGCCATTAAACTAGGTTTAAATACAGAAAATATTAATAATTAATTTGAAAAATCACTTTCCAAAAGCACGTCATATTATTTCACCAAAATTAAATTTTATACATCATTTGTTTTAATAAAATTCTTACATATGGCAGTAAAGAAATTATATTTCAATTTTTATATAATCACATACATCGTCAAAAGAGAACTAAATGAAAGTTCAGGACTGTTTTTCATGATTGTCATCATTTGCCTTACATTGAGGCAAATAGTGACAAAATTTTAGTTTCTAAAAATCTAGTTATTCCATATGACTTATGGGTCTTGTAATTCAGTTTTTCGTATAATTGAAGGTAGAAAATATCGTTTTAGTAAATCATCAATAGACAATTGATAATTCGACAACTTGAAAATAGCTTACAAGGGAGAAAAAATATCCGTCACTATTTGCCTCACTCTCCCTTACATATTCAATATATGTACAGAGTGACAGTTTATGACACATCATGATCGTGTGCAAGTAGAACTTATCCTCAAATTGATAACACAAAATTACTTTACTATTTCGCAAAAAACCACGTGAAATTTGGATTAATTGAAAGAACGCGCGATACAGTGGAGATGACCTGCGATAGCAACGATTTGTACATCAGATCAAATTGAACAAAAAAGTCTTCTACCATTTTGCAAATGACTATAGATTTTTTGTTATTAATTAAAGAAGATTGGTGCATGATTATGTGCGATAATGTGTAGCACACTTCTTTAACTCTTCTAAAATTATTTCTTTTCGTTTATATTTAATAGCGTGCGATATTTAAAGTTCGTAGAAGAGAGAGATTCTGCGGTGCGTTCTCCGCGTTCCCGAATCGATCGATACCCGACTGGTCCGTGAAGAATACGGATTGGTAACCCTTCTCACGTGAAGTATAGTGTTTCAATGTCAGTTACAGGAAGTAACTCGATACAGTTGGCTTCTGCACACGTGCGGACGCTTACGCGGAATAATGTGTCTGAAACGGCCGCCGCGACCGGATAAGATTCGCACGATTAAACAGCGGATCGACAGCGTCTCCAACGGCATCGATATGAATCGACCATATCGATCCCATAAATTACGCAATTACATGTTGCGCAATTACTTTAGCACAGCGAGAAAGAGTCACGGGCGATTTAACAGAAAATAACAGCAGTGCTGCGCGATCATTCGTTTACAATTCACAAAAGGAGCACTCGGATAATTTATGAACGCCGAAGTGTCACGCGTGCGCGCGCGAGTAAGAATACAAGAGCGAAATCGTCGTCAGCGCGTCAACGACTCGTCGCCAGAATAAAGAGAATTTGCGAGGCACTGCTCGCACCGGAAAGGCGAGGACCGATATGAGAATCACTGGATAACAGAAGGGCGCGTGCCAAGGGTTCGCATCTGCTGCAGTTGCTTTCACAGCCCCTCGTTCTTTTCTGTGAAGAACGCTACCACCGTCACCACCGCTGCCTGCCACCTACCGCCGCCACTGCCGCCATCGTCATCGATGTGTGAGACCCCGGGTTACAAAAAGAGGAAAAAAGCCGTAGGGGGAAAAAAGAGGAGGGACGCTTCCGCAGGAAGCACCGATCCTTCTTGCGTCCCTTATTGAACGCACGTCGTTCGAACGGCGGACGAAGAAGTTCAAGCGCAGCGAGTCGTACGGGACTCGTGTGCAATTATCGCGCACGAGAAACTCGAGACACCGAACTCGCTCGTTCGCGAAACCCTAAAGAAGGACTACGACGTCGCGATCACTGTGATTTCGCGTGTCCTTTGGCTAGGACATTGCTGCTGCAGTCGTTGCCGCGCCGAGTAACATCCTCGCGAATTATCGCAAAAAGGAGCTCTCAGAGCGGCTAAGTGAGTGCTGTCGTTGCTATTAGCCGCACGCAATCGGTCTTATGCAAAAAGCAAAGGAAAGGAAAATTAACTTAATCGTTAATAAACTCTGTAAAAAGTAACGAGCAAAGTACCATTCAAAACAGAGACAGGTTTGAGTAGATGAATCACTTTTGAGCACAGAGCCGCAATATGTGTCTCCATTATTTGTCTAGGAATTTTCTTATTTTAATCAGATAGCAAAATTAGATATACATGTGAAATATTATCCTAAAATTGTTGAAATTCCTCTCCCTATTCCCTATTCCTCAGATCTCATCAGCTCAAAATTCTGTCGGAGAGAGGGAACATTTTATCTTGTATTTTTACGGGTTCGATTTTGCCTCCCCTGATTTTCCAAGACCAGGGGGAAAAAAGATGCATCGAGGGGTTTCATTTTGTTTACGCTCGTTTAAAAGCCGCCGAACGTAAAAGCGTCTCAGAACGAGACGGGAATCAATACGTCCCTGTGCTGGGGCCCTGAGGAAGGGGACCGTGCCAGGTAAGCAGCTGCAAGCATCTGCAGGGGCAGCGGCAGCCGCGTGTTTAAATTAGTCCCGGCACAACTGTCGTCCGCGCAACATGTACGGAAGATCGTTCCCGAGACCGGTGCTTCGAAAATCGAATTAACGTATACGTGAGAGAGATCAACGCTCGTTGCATCTTGGGGCGTCTTTATTTTTGTCGCATGAACAAGCACGAGCTTTCTTCATTTCGATGTCCATTTAATCATCCTCCTGACGAGTAACCGGCAAAACTATCATTTGTGAGAAGAAATTGTCTCCTTTCCATAAACTGCCAGGAGACGATTCCGACGATCGATCATCGAAAGTTCCCAGACGATTGGAACTCGATTCAAGTGCGACGGCTGAAAGATGCTAGTGATAAATTGATGTACGCCGGACGTGTACTTAATTATATTCAATCAGACAGGTAGATAAAAAGAAAGCGAGAGAGAAAGAGTGGAAGGAAGACAAATTGATGGCCCTGAAATCGAAAGTGAAGAGAACGATAAGACTTGCCTAAATGGTCGTATGAGGAGTCAAGAAGGAACAGGAAGTAGACGAAGATGCTGCTACTCAGGCTGATCGTGACGTTGGGCGTGTGCTGGGCCGTCAAGTGCGATCTATTGGATCTCTATGTCCAGCACATGGACGAGACCATGAGGACGATGTTTTACAGGGGTAAACGGCATCCCATGGACCCGGCCTCCCGCATCAAGAGGAGCCTGACCGAGGTGGAGCCCGTACTCAGGGTCGGTAACTTCAAGAAGCAGCGCTTGAACTTCGACGAGGATTGGTTGACGTACTGGAAGGCGCATAAGAAGATGTATTACAAGAACGATGCCTTGGATTTTCCGAACAAGAGGGAGGAGAATCTGGATCCTGATCAGCATGAGATACTGTCGAGCAATTTCGAGAAGCCGACGACGACGACATCCGAAGTTGCTACCGAAGCGAATGCATCGGTTCTGATCGAGATTGCGAAACCGACACCAAGCGTCGCTGAGAACAAAGTGCAGTCGATTATTCCGCACAAACCCATGATAATCGAAGATCGAGGAGAAGAATTTGAGGACGAGTTGCCGGTCGGGCAGGAGCAAACAGCTGAACTCGACGAATTGGCCAGCAGAGTGTCGGAGAAACTCCCGCTGGAAGACTCGAAGAACCTCGAAATGGAAGTGGAGAACGAAGAGAAATCGCAGTTCGAAGTCATCAGCGAGAACGACAGGATTAACCCGAAAGTGCTCGACGATCCCAGTTTCAAGAGACCACCAAAGTCGTGGGGTCGCACGCCGAAGAAGTATTTTCCTCTCGTCGACAAGCTAGTCAAGGATGCGCGCGAGACGGAGAGTCGTGTTAAGGATGAGACGGTGAGGACGAAGAGGAGTCCGCAGAAGCAACTCGGGAAGCCGAGGTTTACCAGGTACGAAGTCCTCGACGAGGATGGCGATGTCATTCTCGAGTGGGATCCCTCGGACGAAGAGGAGGTGACTTTCAGGGTCACCGCCAGAACGTTGGGCTACGTCGGCATCGGTTTCAACGAGAAGAGTTACATGAAGGGCGCCGACATCCTGCTCGCTTGGGTAGACGATCACACGGGCGCTGTTAACCTGCTGGTGAGTCTCTCTTTTTGTTTCCTTCTATTTCGTCGATCCCGATTCCGCCGTCGGATCGATACGGAGGCGACAGGCGTGCGCGATCCGATCGATAAATCTCGAAAAGGCTCAGGTAGATATTCTCGTCCTTACAAAAAGGTATCGGAGCTGCATAGTTCCGGCGACCCGTTGGTCAGTCGGCAGCATACATCTATATTACGGAAGCGCTGATTCCTCCCGGCGATTTCTCGTGTAATGTGGCGCTTTAATCATTAATGTGACGGATCGTTGACTTGAACGTCATATGCTTCAGCATTAGCGTTGGTCAGCGTTGATTTTTCCACCGAAGCGATTCCCCCCTTCTCCCTACGATTATTTATTTTTATCTTTTGAAGCGATTGTTCTTGTAACAATTAATGTTCACAAGGTAATGCAGAAATCCATCACTTTTAATTATTTAATTGATTACTCTTTATTACTCGCGCTTTATACACGGAACAAATCTTAGTTTGTGCAACGGAATGGTTAGGGAAGCGAAAACTCGATGACGACAACATTTACCTGTATTGATTGAATGGAAATCTTCTACAGAAAAATTTTTCTGTTTCTACAATCAAATTTTCTGGTTATCCTTGGACAACATTTTCAAGAACGTATTAATTCGTTGTTACTTGAAAATTATTTCAAATGAGATATCTCAAATTCGAATTTTGAATCAGATGTAAGTTTTTCAACTGAATCGTGATTATACACTGAGAGAAAAAAATAATTGGAACAACTATAATCTCACTATATTTTATAGTTTATTTTGGCTTCAAACATATATTTATAGTTCATCTAAACATGAAGATATAGCAGAATGAACACAGATTTATAGTCACCATTTTATTACTCTATGTGTATAGTAAAGCACACTTTGGGAATATAGTTACATGTACCTATATTTGCCAAATATTCCAATTGTATTGACTATATAACATAGTTAATTTGTCTTACCATTCAATATTTGCTATCTTACTATACTTTTTATTTCAAATAATTATAATTCTTGATAAAAGTTTTACATGGGTCAATTATACTATGCTTATATTGTAAATATTACAAACATTATAGTGACATTTACTATAAAAATAATATTCCTAACTATAATCTTTTTACTATGCCATTATAGTTCCAAATATCATACATTTTTCTCTCAGTGTACATGTGATATTACGTATATCATATGATTCAAATAAAAAAACTCAGATTTAACTTTAAATTCAGATCCAAGTATTTCATGTGACACAAGGTTCAGGTAACGACCATCAACACGGACCTCAGTTCACGAGTTGAGTTTTTCTCTTCCCGTGCACAAAGGCTAATTATTCTCACACGACCGCGACATGGTGGGAGTTAACGTGGCCGTAGCAAAAAGCGACCTGCGTAGGCATGAGAACGCGCGATCAAGGATTAATAAAGCGATCGGCGGTCTAGATGGACTAATGGATCGCCGTCGTCGCCGTCGTCGAACCGTCGCGTGGGAAGGACTCGTTTACTCCTTATCGTTGCATCCGGACTATCCTCTATTGCGTATGCAATGCGCGCTATCACGCGAAATCGGTGTGGCTCCTCGACGGAGACATGACGCTTTTCCTCAGCGAATCATCCATCGCAACCACTCTTTCTCTCTCTCCCTCTCGTATCGTGCGAATGGTCCGATCACGTATTCAAGCGCAACTTACCAGAATTATTACTGAAAATTACTCAACAAGGGAACACCGTGAACCCGAACTCTTTGATTTTAATACACTTTTGTGAGTATGTAGAGTAAATCAATACATGAATAACGGTATATTCCATTTGTGCCCAATCGCTATTTAAAGGTATGATTTACACTCTCAAAGTAAAAAGGACGATCTACTTTTTCGTGTATTACACAGAGAAAAATAATGTTGTTCTTTTAGCAAATTCGTTGTTGCTATTGCATATTCATAGTAACATCAAAAAAATTTAGTTAACGTAACTAATTTTACAAATTATTCGTTATCAGAGCAAAAGTAGTTTTGTTGCAAGGATAGAAAAAATTTGTTGAATGTATTTGTCCTAACAATCATGTTAATTTGCTATTGATGCAAAATAATGTATCCTTAGCAAATTTATTTGCTATCGGAGCAAAACTGCAACTACTTATATAAATCCATCATGGTTCTTATAGCAAAATAATTTGTAGATTCAGCAAATTATATCCAGCAAGTAGTGATTAGTACTCTTAGCAAATCTTTTTGCTGTCCATATAAAATATCTTGCTAGACCAGCAGAAAATTTGCTGAGCCAGCAAATTATTTTTCTCCATGTACTCTTAAATTAAAGGAGATAGAAAAAAAATTTTTCAAATAAAAATTTAATAGTAAGTTAAATGCTGTAAATTGACATAAGCATAAATAAAAAATATCTTTTTTATTATAAAAAAATTTTTTTATAGATATTTTTTTATTTATGCTTATATCAATTTACAGTACTTAACTTACCAAATTTACTAAACTTTTATACTAACTTACTTTTATTCGAAATCTTTCTACCTCCTTTAATTTAAGAGTAATACACAAAAAAGTGGATCGTCCTTTTTACTTTGAGAGTGTAAATCATACCTTTAAATAGCGATTAGTACAAATGGAATATACCGTTATTCATGTATTGATTTACTCTATATACTTACAAAAATGTATCAAAATCAAAGAGTTCGGGTTCGCGATGTTCGCTTGTCAGAATAGCGGAGGACATTATACAAAATTGCGAAATCCAAAATTAACAATTTACCGACCATTTAGGAATTAAATTAAATTAACTTTCCGCTTCTTACAATCTGCGTATATATTTCTGGTGACACACATACAGTATAATTTAAGTCTGTCAGACTCTTTAAACTTTGAACTACCATAATTTTGTTGAAAATCAATATTTTTGGATACATTCTTTTTCAGAGATGTAGAAGAGTCTCTGTTGTAAGATAGTAACAATAAAATCAAAGACTGTAAATAGATTTTCGCTATTTTGAAATTTTTCAGAATTTTAACGCAAAGTTGACGAGCGACGAAACATTTGTTCGGATCTCACAGACTTAATATTGTACGCGGAGCGAGGATAGAAAAAAAATGTTCACATGACTAATCGTAACGGAAGATTTTTAATTTGAAACTCGGTATACTATGCCAGCTTATTTGACGCACGAAGAACTGACAAGATTTTCAAGTCGTACGATTATATAAATTTTGAACGAAGCTTTGGTCTCTGCACATCCGACGACGGCAATGACGACGACGACTCCGACTTCAACGACGATTCACAGAGTATCGGCAATTGTCCGCGGGGGGAAGAAAAAACACGCGAGGACGAAGAAACGGACTCCACCGCTCGGTTTCGCACCGCAGCAGCCCCTCTTCGAGATCCGAGACAGTTCGAAACCTGTCGGCGCGGATCTCTCGCTGGTGAAGAGCCGGCGAAAGACCGACGGTACACCGGAGCGGAGGGAGACGGGTACAAAAAGGGGGCGACAACAAAGAGAAGGACGCGGCGAAGGAGAAAGAGAAAGATGTGGTGGAGGAGAAGAAGAAGAAGAAGAAAAGGCACGGCTCGAAGAGGTGGAACGAAGGGAAACGAAAGGAAAAAGGAGCTAAAGAAGCGAGAAAGCCAGGGAATTAAAGGAAGATTAAGAAGGCGGTCGGAGCAGAAAGGGAGGTCGAGGCAGCAACTCTCGAAGGACCTGCGAGGGGCCCCGCTGCTGGGACGAGGTACGGCAGGGGTGAGGAAGGGAACAAAAGGAGTATCGCGAATACCCCGAGCCGCCGCAGCCGCATCTCTTCTCGCTCGAACGACGAAATCGCTTTCGAAGGGGGGAAGGAGCCACTCGCGCTTTCTTGATCGCGCCGGCGAGATCCGTATTAATGAGAAGCGTTAATTAACCGCGACATCGCGACTCGGTCGCGGCCGTTTTCGTCTTTGTCCAGGTGTACCCCGATTGTTTTGCCAAAGTACACACGCGGCTGGTTACGAAAATTCGCGAAAACTCGACGCGATCACCGACACGGCAATGACAAGATTGTTCGACGATGATAATGATGATAATAATAATGCACTTCGCGTAATTGGGAAAATGGTTTCTGTGACGACTGAAGTCGTCGAAAGGCGGGGCGAGACGAGTTTTAATTGGCGATCGGATGCCAGGTGAAATAACGAGGGACGACGAAGTAGGACCCGGCGCGGACTAAGCAGAAACCTGCTCCGGCCGGTGCTGGCTTCTCCGAAATCCTAATCTTAATTAAATTTATATCCATTACGCCTGACGACCCCGCGCGGCCGGTGTATCGCGTGGAATTCCTCCCGACAGTGACTGGCTTGTCCACTCCGTTTAAAACAGCCGACTGAAAAAACGCTGGGATTTTAGCTCGGCGGCGACTTCTTGTCATCATACACGTTGACCTCGTGACGGTTACGCTCTAGCTCTTCTTCCGCTCGTCCTCATCGCAAGTCGAATCGATTGCATTCGTATCGGATGCCTGCTTATCGCGAGGGGTCCGTTCGCATCGACAGCGATCGCCGCGCAGGAGAATATCCTTCTTCCCCGAGTGTTGATTCTCCTCGCCCGGCTCGAGAATCGAAATGAGGCCTGGAATCGCGTGTGAGAGTCACGCGATACGTGTGCGGGACCGAGTCCTAAATCTCTCCAGGGCCAAATTCGCCGTCGACGAACGGCCGACGCGGGTCTCTATCAATTTCGGATTTTCGAGCCGATTTACCTGATCCTCGTCCCTCGACGACGACGACGAGGGGGTTGAAAAGGAGCAAAAAAATGGTGAGAGAAGAAAAAACATCAAAAGAGTAGAGGAGAAGGAGGGAGAGAGAGAGGGGGGAGAGAGAGAGGGAGAGAGGGAAAGAGAGAGAACAAGGAGGGTCTCAGGAGAAAGATCGGTATAAAATTAACGAACGTGCTTCCAATGGGCGAGATAACGTCGTGATAAATTTACGTCCGACCGCCGTGCGGC